CTGAGGCTGGTCAAAACGTCATAAGTTTTGCAGGTATTTGGTCACAAACCAAAGAATGGAACTAATAAAATATGTGAGCAGATGGTGTAGCTGTATGAAAAATTTAGGGATCACCAAAGTTGTTACACTTCATCCTGATTCCATCCAATAGTTGTAGAAGTATTTAAGACATAAGATAGTCATTAGGATTTGTCCTCTGGGACAGTGAATGTAACTAAATAATTTCATGGCAATCCATCCGATAGTTATTGCTGTTTTAGTTTGGACAAAAGTAGTGGACAGCCATGGCAAAAACTGACAAGAACATGAATTTAACTGCATCAGTTTTTATGCTAGTTAAATGTCACTTCCAATGCAAACTTGACTCTGGTTTAGAAACTTCTGAAAAAATTACATTAGTGAAGTGAACACGCCTGTAATAAACATAGCAAACTTTATATAAAAAGAGTTATTACACTGTGAGATACTCTAATGACACTGTCATGAACAATTTCCTTTGACTCAAGTAAAGAAGAAAAAGAGAGGATGCTTTATTAAGACTGGAAACGCTTCTCTGGGCTGCATGGAAACAAACTGGCATGGTGGTCGTTTGGAGACATTCTTGGCTGTTTCTTTCATACTTTTAAACATTTACATGTTTTTTCTTTTACGATTCAAACCTGCCTCCTGAAAGTAGGTAGATCAGCCAATAAGGTTTCTTGATGCTCTGGCTGTACAAAACTTAGTTGAGATTTGGGAGATTTGTCCGTGTCTCGTCTGTGAGCCTCTGAGACCTACAATTACCCATAAAACTCCTCTTTACCTGCAAAGACATTTATGTGTACCTTTGGACAACATTATACTCCAAATAACACAATATAACAGTGTTATTATTATTTTAAAGAAAAAAAACATCCTCTCTCTTTTTCACCTGCTCAGTCTTTCAGTAACTGTGTCTGAAAGCCTGTCATTTGAATTTGCCTCCATTCTTAACGTCAAGAATGTATCTGTTTAGCATAGGACCTCCTTCAGCTGCAGTAGACAGCCACACCCACTGAACGTTTACTGAATACACTGCTCTCAAGACCACTGTCCAACACAACACCAAGCAGTCATTCCATCGCTGAGCTAGAGCTAGAGGTTGTTGAAGGTTATGAAGGAATGTTAAACATTTTCTGAACGTTTTCCCTCTGATGTTCTCTGGCTGCTCTGCCTCAACTCTCTGTCATTAACAGAGTGAATCTGACAGACACACAGCTTTACTTGTTGCTTTAACTGCTGTTATCAGCTGGCTCTGCCCAAACTGGGCACTCCCAGAGGTCCAAAGCTCTTGTACTAACAGATGTATAAACACCAACACACCCATGAAGCAGCAAGCTTCCAGTCCAGGCAGAATCAACTATAGGATGGCTCACTGCACAGCTAACTGAGCTAACTAGCTAGAGGCCGCTATTTTTAATTGTTTGTTACGGAGGCCCTAAGCAGCCATCCATTCAAATATTTTTTTAATTCCGTTTTCCTGTGATAACAAGATAATTATCTTAAGATTTCAAGATAACGAGGGTTGTTGAAAGCGAGATAACAAAATAGTAATTTAAGACAGGGGCCGGCAGGAGCGTTTCTTAATGATAATTTCAATGTAGTTTCTAGTGTCACTGTGTAGCCTAGTAGAGCACAGGACTCATAGTCAAAGGGTTTGTGTTCACTACTCACTGAAGATCAGTTTTTTTCTTCTTTTTTAAACTTTTTTATAATCCTCTTCAACAAAGTTATTACGAAGACACTGTTTCACATGCTCACAATAAAGCATGTGCTGGATGTGTGCGTCCCGGCGATTGGGTCACATCCATCAACCTACGGACTTTTCCATTTCCCCATCATTCCTGGGCAGAGGAAATTCCTGCACTTCCTCTTTCAGGGGAATCCAATTAACATCACACATTTCCTGACAGCTATTTTGGAACCTTTGAAATAGCTGTCGGGAAGTTTGTGATTGGATTCCCCTGAATTTTTTCATAACAACTTTGTTGAAGAGGATAATAAAAACACACAAAAGAAGAAAAAAACACATCACAAGCAGGAGCTGAAAATGCAATCCTTTGATTACAAGTTGTCTGCTTTACCAACTGAGCTAATCAGTAACAAAGATAATTCTTTTGAAATTATCCTGAAGAAATGCAACTGCTGACTCCTGTATTCAGCTATGGTTTATTACTTCGAGATCACAAGAAAATATCCCGTTATCATGGGAAAACAGAGTATATATATATATATATACAGTATATATATATAGGCTGAACTTCTTCAGCTGCCGCAGGAAGTACATCCTCTGCTAGGCCATCATGGTGAGAGAGGTGATGTTTTGCTCCCATTTGAAATCCTGGGAGATGATGGTGCCCAGGAAGTGGAAGGAGTCCACAGTGGCGACTGCAGAGTCACCCAGGGGAGGGTGGGGCTGGGCTCTCACTAAAATCTACGACCATCTCCACTGTCTTCTGAGCGTTGAGCTCCAGACTGTTCTGACTGCACCAGGTCACCAGTTGGTCAATCTCCCACCTGTAGGCAGACTCATCCCCGCCTGAGATGAGCCCAATGAAGTTGGTGTCATCCACAAACTTCAGGAGCTTGGCGGACTGGTGACTGGAGGTGCAGCTGTTGGTGTACAGGTAGAAGAGCAGAGGGGAAAGAACACAGCCCTGAGGGTGCTGAGGGTCCTGGAGTCAGAGAGATGTTTTCCCAGCTTAACTGGCTGCTTCCTGTACGTCAGGAAACTCCTTAAATCAGTGAGGCCTAGTTTTGCATAAGATGACAGTGGGCTTTTTGGGGGGGTCTTAACGAGACAGGAGCCAAAACCATGTGTTAAGACAGAGGGTGAATAGAGGTGCTGAAGCAATGGACAGTATTTGGAAAATAATGTATTTTTTTGACAATTAAAGAATGTAAACATTTCCTAGAAGACACCCAAAATAAAAGTATGAGCCCCAAAATTTGCATCATATGGGACCTTTAAATGTAATATCCACATGTTGTTACCTTAGGTTGTCACACCTCTGACATTTACACAACAAATGACTTTTAGCGTGCAAGTGTTTGCACTACAAAACAGTCCAGGTCAAAACAAGCCGAGGGACGAGCTAAATGCCAGGTCTCTTGATGAGTCATGAGCAGAGCCCGTTTTACAATCTTTTTCCCTTTCATTTCCTGTCTGGATGAGCCAAACCTCTCTGGAGGGTAGCCTGTAACATAGCTCCTGCTTGGTTTGGACACCATCATTTGTGGAGAGGATGTTTAACCGGACTGCCTGGAGAGGTCATCAGGGGGGAGCCCTGGGGTGATTTTCCCCAGATGGTGCAACAACATCAGTGCATTCGCCTCGGTGTTGATGTGAAGAACACCGCTCACCATTACAGCACAATGCATATCAATGATTGTGTGTAAAAACCCCATAAAACCAAATTCATGACGGTGATTTTCACGGTTTCCATGCAGCTGAGGGATCACTTGACACACTGCGGATTGAACAAATTCTCTGTCCTCCTAACGTTGTAAAACACTAGTATGATCCAAGGCATCAAAAAGCATTAACACTGTTGTTTAACTCAGCTGCTAAAAAATATTTTGGAGATACAAGGTTTGAGCCAACAGTTTTGTTATGCAAGTGCTGCAGTAACATTGTTTTTGCTCTGATAAACCTTTACTTTCACAATGTCTTTCAGATCAATTAACAATGATTAATTATATAAAGTGATTAATGAATCTTCCTTGTCTTTTGATGCAATTTGTTACTTCAGCAGAGTTTTGTGTGAGGGTTAGACGTTCCAAACACTGCAAGAACAACTGATAAAATGACAAACAAGAAGATTAGTTATCTACAATGTTTTTCGTTGTTAGGTCTTGCTGCACATTTCCCTCAAACTATTTTTTTAAGCTTTTCTTAGCTTTTTTAAAAATGTTTGTTACCCCCTTGTCTTTATGTCTCTTAATTTTTACATCTTTCAGTTTTTCAATTTAATGTTTAGCATGTTTGGGGGTGTACATGCTCAGTTACAGGACAATATCACTACATTTGCAACCCACCACAGTGAAGGAATTACACTTGAAAAGCCTGCAAGTGGAGCAATGACGGAGACTTTGAAAGATAAGGTTGCCAGGAGCTTTGTTTTAATGTTTTATTGGCACAGAGTACCAATTTTCAACATACCTCTCTCCTCAAGTGCGCATGAAAGCTAAAATTACACCAGTTAAAGGCTTATAAACCTTCGTATCGCAGAAGCTTGACGGTGAAAGCACTGCTCCTGAAAGCCATTCCTGTTTCCCTGGACAAGCGTCTGTGATGGAGTAACACTCAGCTATACTTACCTGGGATAAAGATGACAGTAATTATCAGGTTTTCCATCATCATATCTGTGCTAGCTGAATCCCTACCAGACCATACACACCTGCCGCAGCACAGGTCAGTACAGGACTCCTGCAGTGCAACAATTCCTGAACTCAAATGACAGATGCTTCCATACCCTTAACCAGTGTGGAAATAGATGACCACTGGGTGGTTCTTGGTACTGGCAGAAATTCCACAACTCAACATTGTACAAGATTATAAATTTTGGGAGTATGATTATAAGTGAATCAAAAATGTGGATAACCCCAAGAAATGCGAGACAAGTTTATTCACTTTCTTGCCAAGAGTTAAATGAGAATAACGATAAGTATGGAGCTGGACCTAGGAGATGATTATTTTAGCTAAGATAAAAATTTTCACATTTCTGGTTGTGTAAGTAACAGACCAGATACAATCTTTTAATTAGAAAGCTTTATAGACAGCTAGCATCTGTTCCATTAATGTTTGCTTCTGTAACTCACTGTAATCTCTCATTTAGCTTTCAACTGTCTTTCTGAATAAATGATGCGTGTTCCTAATCTAATCTAATCTAACCTAAACACCTCCTGGCTCCAGTTCGATACTTAGACATGAGAGTGGTTTCCATCTTCTCATCTAACTCAAATAAGCATATTTCCCACAATGTCAAATGATTCCTTTAATGTCTGTTAATTGGCAGTTTTTCTTAAATCCCATAAATTACACATTTTCAACACTGTCATTGTAAGGATGATGAAAGTTTCATCGCCAAGCAACCAGTGTGTCATTTATATACCTCCATTTTTTTAAGCATTTATAGCTATTTACAGATGATCCACTCTTAACAGTTTCTCCTTAGTGCTGCAAGTGGTTTCCTTTGCTTCAGAACAAGCTTTCTCCCCTGTGCTTCATGAGGTCATTGTATCTGAGTTACAGTCTCGCTCTGGGTCATGGGCCGGTCCTATTCACGCTGAGGCCTTCATGTGACTGTTGCTGTTGTTCAGGGATCCAGCCGTGCTGGTCCTCAACTGCTCAAATGTTGACAACTCCAGACAGAAATCTGGGAAACTAAACATGGGGAGTGGGAGGAAGAGAAAACGATTACAGAGGGCTCTACATGGAGAGAAAAAAGAGAGAGCAGTAAGAATGAGAGCCAGCGTCTAAATCTTGTCCGGTGGTGGTTGCCATGCCAAGAGCTAAACAAGCGTTTTATCAGTTTCTGGGGTAAAGATTTATTATTGTTGTGAGTTTCGGCCTCAGAAAATGAATGCATGATCCAGCCTAGGAAGAGCGTTATAGTGTTTGGAGCATCTGCTGGCTAACAGGACTATTGATTCAAGTAGACTGAATAAAAGCTATGACTGAAAATGAGTTCAATGTAAACACTGATGTTAACAGCATCTGTGTGTACTTCCAAAGCTTGAGAACTTTTAAAGACCAAGTATGTGTTTAGCTAAGCTGAACAAAAAAATTATGACAAAAGACAATATTTGGCCTTTTGAGGTACTGGACTGTTATTTTTCCTTGGAAAATACTTTTTTACTGAATATTTTCTTGCAGCAAGTCTTAAGTTCACCGACTCAGCTTATATGTATTTTGAAATGGTGCTGCTGGACACCAGTCTTTCTGGGCTAACCACTATGGAGTGAGAACGGGCGTCGACTGACTGCCTCCTAGTGCAGTGATAATACCTGCAATAACCACAGAGACATAAAACTGACAGAGGAAGGGCGCTACACTGTATTCAACTCTCCTGACACGTGTAACCGCGCATACAGTTCTCACCTCTTTTATGATGTGGTGCTATAATTGTAGACAATTAACCCACCACAGAGCCTTTGTCTAAGGCTTCCTGGCTGCGGACGATCCTCAGCTGAAACAATAAAGGGATCAATGCCTCGCTTTTCTTCTCCTCTTCATGCCAATATTTGTACTGACCTGTTTTACTTTACCCTTCGCTCCATCCTCCTCCCTCTGCTGTATGACTCCTTCGCGTGCAGGGTTTCCAGACGTGAGGAATCTAATTCTGCTTCTTATTAGGCATGACCGCAACGACCCTTCGCTGTGAATGAGCCAGCATGTCCCTTCCCACAACAGGAAACACCATCACCTACAATTAGCCAACCAATACAGAATCTCTGGCTCTGAGTCCGATCACAAACGTTCAGCCTCACAGATCAAACTCTGTTAAACATGGCAGTGGCTTCGCGGATGGGCCCATGGAGACGTAACAAAAAACACAAGGATTGCCTAATGTTATGGAGAGTCTAGGTTTATAAGTTTATAACAATATGTACCCCATTGGCAAGACGGATCTGACGGCGAGACCTGGTCAACGGGAAACTTCCAAACCAAGGAACATTTTTGCTCACAATCAGCCAGTCAAGACAGCTTCTTGGTTCCCTGTCAGGTACTTTCAGTCTGTAAGATTGTGTAATGCGAAATCCTGGCTCCAAAAACAGAAGCTTTGAAATAGAACTGAAAATATCAGAGTACTGTAGGGAGTTGAGGTTTCATGGGAAAGCCAACCACTTCTGTGTCTTAAATGTGAGACAAATTTGTGACATCATGAAAGCATTCAGAATTCAATACTCGTCATCCATCTTCTTTGTTTCCTCACCGTCTCCGTGATTACTTTTTGCAATGTACTTTTTTGTTGTATCCACTTTTCTCAAATTGCATCATCCACTCAGTCAGTGATATTTCCCAGAATATATTAAACTGCCCCTAGAGAAGTGGTACTATGTAATCTATGAGCACTTGCTGTTAGGCTGAGTGTATTGTGCTGTTGAGGATACTTTCCATAGCAAAACTATGTTCTGTCCTATTCATGCCGGTTGTCAACCACACAGCATGACTCTGCAGTTCCACTCAGCTTGTCTGAGCTTTTTAGCATCTTTCAGCTAATTGTTTTGGTTTCAAGGCCCACAACATTACTGTTTTGGTTCAGTCTCTCATCAAGCCCAATTCCAGCAGCAGGCAGCTGTTTCTTGACTATACTTAACTATACGTTACCTGGCACTCTGAAAAAATTCGCATCAAGCTTTTGAACATAGTGGAGGAGTTAGAGGAGACCAAAACACAGCTAAAAAGAGAGTAAATATTACTTGGACTTAATTCGTCAGGTGGCCAGAAAAGTGCATCCAAATTAATCCTAATGTTGCTGGATGGTCATGGATATATTAAGGAGAAGTGGATACCACGTTCAAAGATGGAACCCTATTCATTCCTTTCAAAATTGCTGAGTAGTCACGTGGGACGCCAACAAGGTGGTCGCATAGTTGGTGATCTCCCATAAACCCACCAGGTTACCTGAAATTCCACAGTTAAATGTGGGCAGTCGCGGTAGGAGTCCTGCTAAAGTGAATGTCTTACAGTTTTAGAGTGTTGTGATCTTCTTCTTCTACTTCTACTGGCGTAGCTAACAAGCTAGCAAACACTGCGGTGGCTAGCAAAGGAGAGAATAACGAAGGAAGTGTATTGTCGGAAATGCAACAGTCTTTGGAGAAAGCCATGGAGGAGATGGGAAGAGTGGGACAGCTCTTGACAGCCATGAAAGCGGATGTATCTGAAGTTAAGGAGGCCAATGTTGGGTTAAGAACTGATGTGGATAATGTCTTGCTCCAGCTAGATGAAGCCGAAAGCGGAATCTCTCAGATAGAGGTCAAAAACAGATAAAACAGCGATGAAGTGTGAAGAACTACATCAGGCTGCTGAAGACGCTACCAACAGAGACAGACACCAAAACCTGCAAGTTATTGGTCTCAAAGAAAGGATGGAAAATGGTAAATTATCAGACTGTGTGAAAACCATAATCTCCAACGCTCTGGACGTTGAATTGGATGGGTCACAGTTGCAACGTGTGCACCAAGCACAATACCTGAAGAAGGCCGCCCGCCAGAGACCGATTAATATTCGCTTCCTGGAACTAGAGAGAGTGCTGGCGGCCGTAAAGGAGAAATATAAAAACAAAGAAGTTGTAAAAAAAAAAAAAATGTCGTGTGTGGTAAACGAATGAAGTTTACAGATGACAGAGAGGTGATGGACAGAACCTTTCTTTATTCGTTATTTTTTTATGTTTGATTTTCTTACCTCTTACTGTCCCCATGTATGGGTGTGAAATATCATCTCAGTGTGAGGAATACTACCTCCTTTTCACCTTTTTTTGAGCCATGACTAATTGTGTGAGAAAAGCATTACAATCTGGAATCTAAATGGGGTACAACACCCCATAAAGAGAAAGAAATGTTTATCCATCCATCCATACATCGTCAACCACTTATCCTGAGTACAGGGTCGCGGGGGGCTGGAGTCAATCCCAACTTACATCGGCCAAAAGGCGGGGGACACCCTGGACAGGTTGCCAGTCCATCGCAGAGAAATGTTTATCATACCTCAAATCTCAACTAGTTCAAATAGCATTTATACAAGAAACCCATATGACTGAATTGGAAGAGGGATTGGGTTGGTCATGTACATCACAGCTCATATTCTAGCAAGAAACACGGAGTAGCCATTTTGGTACACACGAATCAGAATTTCCTCTTTTTAAAAGAGCAAAGGGACGAATACAGAAGAGTGATATTCTTGGAAGCTAAAATTAATGTTGTAAAAGTTAATTTGTGTAATATTAATAATAATACAACCCTGTTTTTTTAACAAAGTGAACAAACTAGTGGGGAATATACTGTAGTCGATGGGCAATCAACCATAGGCGAGGATTTTAATCAAGTTTTAGATGGGGTATTAGATAAGACCACTTTTTCTAATAGGATACCAAAAGACGGAGAGGCCACTGAGATGTTGTTGAAGGATATAGGTCTGACTGATATATGGAGGCTTGTCAACCTGAAGGAGAGAGAATATACATTTTATTCTCATAAACATAAATCTCACTCCAGGTTGGATTATTTTTTGATCAGCAAGAAGCTGGGGCATAATGTTTGTGACTGCTCAATAGGACCTATAGCACTGACCGATCACGCAGCGGTTCACATGAGATTGGTAATGAGGCCAGAGAGATGTAGGTGGAGGCTTCTTTGTTTCACGACCCGGTAGTCTGTAGTCAAATAGAAGAGGACATTGACAAGCTGGGAAGCTTCTAAGGCTTGTATTAGGGGGAAAAAAATAGCGCACTCAAGTAGAAAAAATGGGAACAAATGCAACAATTAAATTGGTTAGAATCTCAACTTAAGGAACTGGAGAATACACTGACTATGAAACACACTGACCTACTATTGAAGTAGGTTAGTACCTTGATATTTAAAATAAATGAAACATACAATAAGAAGGCAGAATATGACATATTTAGGCTTAAAAGTAATTATTATGAAAGTGGGGAGAAATGTGGGAAAATTTTAGCTAGACAACTGCGTCAAAAAGAGGCTAGTTATGTCGTACCAGCCATTAAGAACGAAAAAGGGGACCTAGTGACAAACACAAGTGATATTAACAAAGCGAGTTTGTACAACCAGCTATATAGATTGGAGGTTAACCCGGGAGGAGTGATTTTGGTACATTTTTCTCAAAGATCACACTGCCTGAAATGTTAGTAGATCAGAAGGAGCATTTGGATCGTCCCATAGGAGAAGAGGAGGTCAAGAATGTGATTTCATCAATGAGGGCTGGGAGATCACCTGGGTTAGATGGTTTTCCGTCAGAGTATTACAAGCAGTATATTGATAAGCTGGCTCCCATTTTATCAGAGAGCCATGGAGAATCATTTCTACTGGGGAAACTGCCGGATACATTTAATGAAGCTCTGATCTCTTTAATTGTTAAAAAAGGGTAAAGACCCTACTGATCCAGGAAGTTTTAGACCAGTCAGTCTGATCAATGTGGACTGCAAAATACTGACAAAAGTTCTGGCCACTAGACTAGAAAATATTCTGCCATATTTAGTATATCCTGATCAAGTAGGCTTCATATAAGGGAGGTCATCTACGGACAATGTTAGACGTTTGCTACATTTAATGCAACTCAATCACAACAAGAGCACCCCGATATCTGCCATTTCTTTGGATGCCCAAAAAGCATTCGATAGGGTGGAAAGGGGATTCTTGTGATAT